GAACACATAAAAGCGTAATGGATAAATATACTGTGCCTTTAAGGATAGTTAAATTAAACAGAATAAAATAAATTAGTAAACACATAATTGATACATTTGATTTCATTTTCAACAATGGGATTTATAATATTTTTATAATATCTGGGGAAACAGAAAATACAATTATATTTTAAATTCAATTAAATCAAGGTTATTATGATTCAAACTAAATTAAGAACATAGGTACCGATTCATTAGTCACGGTTTTCTATATTTTAATGAATCTCATTAATTAATAGTATTATATAACAATTCATCGATAACAAACGATGGCTCCAAAAAACTAAACAATAAACATAAGTATCTTAAAGAAAACAAAACCGGAAATGACAATGAACGAACGATAACAGCCGACGAAAAAATAATACTAACATCATATTATATTTTCTTTATTTTTAAACATTAAAGGGATAAGATATACTAATACAATCAGATAGACAATTACCTAAGTGTATATTGGATAACGGCCATCTTTAATTTCAGGAAAATAATTAAACATCCCTTTTCTGTAGTGCAATTTTTATCAGAAAATGTATACTGATTGAATTAAAATATTGAGACTGTTAACTTAAAAAGAGAGTAAATATTATCGCAGGACTCAACCTTCTTTCCAGCTAGATTTATGTAGCTAATATGACTATAATTAAAGACAACTAGTGCCTTTAGGTCACATCGCTATGATACTTTCTTATTATAATCAATTAAAGAAATCTGAATAAACTATTATAATATGCGCTTAGAATATATAAAACTCTGCATCATTATATAGCATTTCCAGATGTTACGATTTAGGTACAATATCTATTTATTGTTTACCGTTTTTCTCTTTTTTAGTATATAGTCTTTGATGTTTGATATTTATGTTATTTATTAAGTATTATATTATTTTTTAAAAAGCATTATTCATTATTTTCCTACCGTTGGTGATGAAGTCTGTTGCGCCTCTACTGTTCCCGATGCATACCACCATTGCTGCTGCGGAGATTGCTCTCTAGTATTTGAATTTGATACTAATCGGTAGTCATAACTCCCTGTGGAACTATCGCCACCATTATTTGAAAAGCCACTAGTCATTTTGTACGTATAAAGTTGATGAGTGGCGGCAGCAGTGCTTCGAGCAATTTCTTCATTAATTTGTTGTTGGTGCTGAAGTTCACCTGCGCCACCCGGCCACCACGAGGCTTCGTCGCGCGCACCCCAAGCGCCTCCCGTCGCGCCTCTGTCCCCCATATTAAGATTGCTGCTTTAGGCCAACCTGTTTCTTTATCTTCTTTCAGTTAGAGTTTATGATTTCCTTTGTGTGTATTTTGTGGGAATCATGTCCTGTATCCAGTATATTTCGATCACAATAAATGTTCATACGGGTTTTTATTTTCATCAAGTACACTAAGACCACCGAGACAAATATTTTTTTATCACAAAGACTTATTGTATTCAATCGAAACACTTCATTTTCTATCAAATCTTAACTAAAAGAAAACGAAAAATCGCGGTGTCTGTCGAGTTGGTTAATCTAAAAAGCTACCGGCTGTAAGTTCCACTCCACGCGCGTACGTTTTGTCTTCGTTTGTACTTAAAGTCAATAAAGTTGGCAACGTCGCATAGCGAGACGCTATACAAATGCACACAGGCGCCCCCAACGCGCAGCGGCCATTACGGAAATAATCGAACATACCCGAAGAGCCACCGAGCATGCACGAAACGGCAACAAGTTCGTCCAGCAACCGGTCAATAAGACGATTAGCGCAACTCATACTATCCACCATATCTTGGATTTTTTATATGAATCTATATAAATTAAAATAATTGATGTTTATATTACATTTTGGGTTTCGAGTTAAACAATAATTACGTATAGATAAGTACATTTCTAAATCATTTCATATATATAATTGTTCTGAAATATTTCATTCTTTGTTCTCCTGCGACGTCAATTTATGCCCCCAGTAGGTAATTAGTTTTATTTGTGTATCACTTCGAGCTTTTATTTGTGTATTAATTTATGAAAGAACTAAAAACGAGGTATATAAATTCCAAATGTTCGTGTTTGAAAATAGATATTGAGGTTCAATTGGGCTTTATAAAATTTCTAGAATTTACATAATATTATTACTCAAACTAAACCAATTTTAATGAGACAAGTAACGTTATTTATATTTGGTTAAGTGTTATAATTTAGATAAACTTAAACCCTTAAGATAAAACAAAATATATTTTTCAAGTTTATTCAGGAACAAATAGTGAATATTTTTTCACATTGACAAATGACATAGTTACGTATAAATAGTACACATATACTCATATATAATCCTAATTATAGTTCTTAAAATTGCTTTACAATCGATCTTTCTTACTTTTCCTGCATAGTTGAGAAGGAACACAATATTTATTAGAAAGTTAAGAAAAAGGTAGGTTATAAAAAAAAAATATGCTTATACATGAATGGAAAATTAATTCAGTTCTATGATGCTTGATAAATAATTATTTCATGCGCTTATCAAATCCATAATAAGCAACTGAAATAATACTTCAACACGTTAACTAAATTTGAATAATTATCGTTACTACAACTTACCACAGTGAACCGAGTTGCACCGAATTGAAATTGAAGTCAATAATAATAGAGACCACCATAATTGAAATCAATAATAATTATAATCGTCTACTACAAATACACAAAAAATACTACTTGTACTGGCTTGAATATGTACTCATTTTTGTAACAAAGGGATTTTAATTTGTTGTCACCATATTTAGAAAAAGGGTATTTGACAACATTAAAAAATGTTATACTTTGTGGTATAAGATAACAGCGTAATAAATAACACATATTTCACTTAATGTATAATTTTGCAGACTACACAAAATAAATAAAATATTTTTTGTCATTTTATGGAAAGATGAAGTCGCCTTGTAAGTGGTTGCAACTTTGATGACGTCATAAGCTAGTAAATATGACTTCCTGGGCATGCACTATCGCAATTGGTAGCTATCGTTAAGAAGCGATCGCAGAGTTCACCAACCGAGCTATCAAACTCGATCGCTAGGGAACTAACGAATTTGACAGTTGCACTCGGTACGTGCTTTGTAGACACTTGCAATGATCGTTAACTTACGATAGCTATGACTTAGCAAACCAAATTCCGTATAATTTCGATCGCAAACTCTGTCGAGATTCGCACTGGTGACGATTTTAGTATGTTGGTATTTGTTTATTTACTAGCGTGTTACGACATACTGGCGGCGTGTGACAGACAGAAATTTAAACTTAAACTTAATTAATTGATAAATATAGTAAATATCTCCGAAAATTTAATGTAATGTGCTTATTATGTTTTATAATACTATTTTTCAAATTAAGTTAAATACCTTATTACCTACCTACTGTTTATTCTGACTGATTTTATGATAGTATCGAATATAAAGTTTACCAAAAATTAGTCTATTGTTCAGCTTAAAAACCTAAGTAATAAGCTTTATATGTTTGATTTTCCATTAAATAGTATTTTTATGACTACATTACTAAATGAAAGAAAGCATTATTATATAATAATTAAAACTTTGATTGATACTTACATGTACGCAAAACTTTTCATCAACGCATTTACAACACTGACGAATTATAATGGAGTAGATAACTCATGCGATGCATCTTTGCGGTAACTTTGAAATAATTTAGCTAATAAAGTAGGTAGAGAATTTTAGAAATGTTTAATAATAATTGAAGATATTTCAAATCAACGATAAAGTTTATATAGATGACTCACCCGTATTATAACAAATCATTAATATTGATTCAAGGTCCGTCCTTACTCCGTACAAACGTAAGTCTCAAAAGAAATCTCTCGTGCAGAATAAAAAAAATAATAATAAAGATATACCTAATTTTATTAATCTGACTTATTTCTACAAGAAATGCGTGTTTTCATAATACTGTTATGGCTATAATATTAATTAGACTAGTCAACTTAATGAAATCAATGAAATTATTTTCAAGATGGATAATATTGATGAATGATGAAGAAATTAAATAGTTTAATATAAAAATATTTATGCCAAACTTTCTCAAAAACCACGCAATACTATTACCAAATTTTTTAATCGTTTTCTAAGGTTATGAATACTCATTGTTATGAATCAATAATTCAAAATAATTTAACTATTAAATTAGTTATGGATTTCGTTACATCGTTAATGCTTCTATTTAAATATATTAAATAATAAGAGCATCACAAATTTAATGCTTATGCTTCAATCCAGTTTTGATAGCAGCCGAGTGAACCATTATTATATTTTATTAAATATAGATACTACAAAATTTACAAATACTAGCACTAGATCATAATGCTGAAAAATTTAACTATATAAATTCAGATAAAATAATGAATTAATTCATTTACATAATATAGGCCATAATAGATACTTAAATGAATACGTAATATTTCATATTTCAAAGAAATATTACTATTTTGCATATATACTTCTTGTGAAATATAAAGCATTCATATCAAATAATGTCTTAATATTCATAAATTTAATACGTATTTCCTATTAGGTTATAATAAATAACCTAAATGGGTAACACACAGAAATAAATAATTATTGTTAGTGTTAAAATAGTATCTTATTTATAAATCAACAAGCGTCTGAGTCATTTAGGTTATGTCTGTATGAATGTGTTAACAAAGTAGTCATTGTAGGTTTGCAGGTTTTATTCAGAAATTGTTAAATACTTAAATTTAAATGCTCACTTACTACGATACAGTCGTCATGTGTATGTGTATATCTAAATGTCACAATATTCCGCCCTCGGCAGCCATTTGCTTATAAAATTAGAATGGATAACTATAAATATCACTTTTTGAAAAACACTATCAAGTTCTTTAGTATTTTCCACTAATACACTTCATTGCTTTATCTTATGTAGATAGATATAAATGTAAAAAAATAATAAAACTCACCTACAATGTTTATTACATCGGGCACACGATTTCAGCGCTTATTACGTAGGGAACTTCGCGTTTGCCCCAATGGATACGAAAGCAAAGCAATGTCAAAGACAAAAAAATTTCATTGGTTAAAATTGAATGTCGCGCCATATTCTAGCCAATCCGGATTCAGGCGTTGGCTTTATTTTTTGTTTATAATACAACATCGCTACATTGTCATATTGCGACGATGCACACATTCTCTGTTTACGATGCACACATTTGTGATCACGGGTTGAACTATTTTTAACGAATGAGTGGCGAAGATTGAAAAATATGTGTCAATGTAAAATAGATCTTATATGGCAAGTCATAAGATTCGACTTTTTCGGATGTATGAGTGAATGAGTAGTTTCACTGAATGCTGTTCAAACTGAACGAACCACTTTAATGATGGCAATGCAATGCAACTTTTGCTTTTAGTTTAGTTCGTTCAGTCAAATCAAATGGCGATCGGTAGTAGTGAAACTCTGTGTTATATTCATTTATTAGCGGTAGTTATTTCAGATAAAAAACATATTCAAGATTGTCGTAATTTGAGGAAGGGTACATTTGATATTTGAAGAATACCTTTTAACTTTTAACCGTTTGACTCAAGTATCCATATTAATTGTAACATCCGATGAATTATTTTGACCACAAATAGTGTAAATTTTTTGCGGTGTTTGATCTACTACAGTCAAATGCTGGGCAGGCAAAGTTAGTTTTGACAATCGCGAGGTCTTAATTTTGTTAAAATTACCAGTGAAATGTACCGTGTTTTTGTAAATTATAACCTCAATTGTACATCTTTGTGAATACGTCGTAAAACTGTTTTCTGCTATCGCCTTGTGCGACTTCTACTATTCAAGTTAAGTGTATTTGTTATATATGATTCAACGCGAGTATCAAATGAACAACGGGTTTAGTACAGGAGAAGAAGATTCAAGAGGTAATTCTGATCAAATATGTTGCCTAGTGGATGACGGCGAACGCTGTAGACGACCCGCGAGCAATGCCGCGTATAGTAAACGTATACAGAAGACTGTGATGCAACGGAAGCTAAAACTCAACATTGACCCTCAGGTATTAAAGATTGTTCCAATAATAGAATTATTTTTATTTTGCCTCATTCAAATGGCCAAACTCATTATGTTGTTTTTATTTTATTTTAAGGCAAGGCATACATACATTTGTGATTACCATAAAAACATGATCCAGTGTGCAAGAACAAAGCAGAGAAGGCCTAAAGATTCTGAAGACGATAGCAATGAAGCAGAAATGGATTCTCCAGAAGTAGATTGGTTTCAACTACAAGTCCCTACTTTGAGACGTTATAAGAGACACTTTAAAGTACCAACAAGGCATGGATTGAATAAAGCTCAATTAGCAGATGTAAGTATATTTCATGAGTTTTTGTCTGTAGCATCATAGATCTATTATATTTATTTATTTATTAAGATACAAAACAAGATATAATTAATACAAAGCATAACTTGTTATTTATCTTGCAAAATCCAATTAATACCCAATAATATGTATCTCTAGCGTGATTATAATGGAGCAGCATTAAAGCTAATGATATTAATTTTAGTCCAAGTTGAACTTTGCAAAATAGAAAAACAGTAACATAATACTTTCTTGCTCTATCAGTATATATATTTATAAAATAAAAAGGACAACACTGACTTTTTATCTAATATTTATGAATGAAAACAAAATTTCAGTCTTTATTTTTTGTTACAGGCTATCCAAAAGCACTTCAAAACTTTACCTGTAAATGAAAAGGAAATAATGACCTATTTCATTTATATGGTAAAAACTAATGGCAACAAGTTGGACCAGAAAAATGGAATGAATTCTGATTCAGTGTAAATTTTATTATTGTGAATGTGACTTTATAATTTATAGAATTAGTTTTAACATTAGGATTAGATATTCTACATTCTTTTGTAGATATGAATTTATAACTCTATTTGTCTTGAAGTATATTACTTCACATTGATTACAGAATACAGTTGAGTTTATTCATACTTGATGTCACTCAATATATTTAGATGTTCATGTTGATTTATTCATTCAATCACCTTTATTATTGTGTATTCTGTAATGATTTCCTCAATCATAATAATGAACTACTTTGTAACTATTTATTTTTCATTTCAAACTATAGTTATTAACAAGATACATATTTAAGTGATTCACTCAATATTGGGGGAAAAATGCAATCAAATGGCTTTGTATAATTTAAGAGATTATAATAAGAGTAAAATTATAGAATGTACATTTTATTTTAACATATTTTATAAAAACTATTTTTATTAATCTGAGTCAGATGAAATCTCTATCCATTTTGACACTCCTTTATTTGAAATGATCTCAGCAGTTTGTGGCAATGAAGGAACAACTGAAATTAAAGAATAGATTTCAGTATTGTTGTAAAGGGGCTTCTAAACAGGTAATATGTTTTGGCAATATTGCAAAAATAGTGATCAGGCAACATTGCAAAAAATGCCTGCCAGATTGTACAATATTGCAGTTATATCCTGCCTGCCCATATAGACAAATATTTTTGGTATGACCAATATTATTAAAAACATTTCTGGGATGGCAGGACAATATATTGCCTGTGTAAAAGCCCCTTTATGTATAATAATATTGTCATTACTTTATTCTCAAACTTACCATCGTATTTACTAGGTTCAGGTTCATCATCATTATCTTCATGTTCCATATCATTTTTCAATGTCATGTCATCAACATTAAACTTTTTTAATTGAATGCTGAGGTCTTTTCGAGTTAATGATAATAAATGATCACTTGTTATCATATCAGCAAAATTTATTTTTATTCTCTTTTGCCTGTAAATAAACACTGGATTACATAATTTGCTAAATGTATTGTCAGCCAGGTAAACTGAACAATAAACTCTTTTTTTTTTATTCACACACACACACTTCTGCTGACATGTCAATAAATACACTGAAGTGGACTATATGGTTGTACTTTCTGCTATGTTTATATATTGAAGCAGACTATATCTGAGCTCAGGAACTACCAGTAGAGTGAACTGGCTACTTTGGAATATTTGTAGTGTTCAATCTTATGTCTATGATATGCATTCCGATTGTTTTCTGGTGTAATAAATAAAAGTAAAGAGAGTTTTGATGATTAATAAATAAGCCTTCCATCACATTATTTTGTACAGTATGCTCTTTTAATTTGTTTTTTTTTTTACTACTGGCATTTCCCTTTTGGAATCCAGTGTTTTGTTGTTACTACAGTCTGCTTTATATAGTGTAGTTAAGCTCCACTTAATTTTGAATACATAAATAAGAACGAAAAATACTGTCTGGTTCATTTTGATGTCATGGTTTCATATCAAGAATGGACAGAAATTTGTCTATATTGTACTGCCATTCAATAATAATAATTTTGGTAGTTTCTTTCATATAAAAAAAATTATTCTAACCTCATCGTATCATCACTGTTTATACGTTGTTTTACTAGATCAACTATTTGTTTAGAGCTCTCAGCAGCACTAATAATGGCTTTATGGACAATGTTGGAATCATACAGTGCAGCGCCATTTAGATCTAGTAAACATAATTCCTTGTACTGGTTCATACCAATTACCAGTAAACCACCACCTGTATTGATCCCTTCTTCTGTACTACTAGTACAAACTGACTCTTCTATGAAACTAGGATCTGAGAGTAAAACCCTGAAAGAGATCAAATATTATTTAATTAATAAAACTGAAGCTTGTAGTTGTGGATTGCGTTCCCCATAGTTTGGTTTATTATGCAGGTATCTATAACTGGGACTCGAACCCACAATCTTTCGCAATCTGGGTGATAGCTCCAAACTGAGCTATCCGATAATTAACTGTTAAATATCAATTAACAATCGATTAATTGTTAACTGCAACATTTCAAAATAAAAATATATAAATTGTTAAATAATAGTAATTTAATTGTCCTTCAATTAAACTATTCAAATTGAATGATGTAAATGGAATAATTTAATATACAGCGATTGACACAGGGCAGGATTGTCACTAGGTTAAATGAAGATTTCACAAAGCTGATCCAGACCTAACTAAATCATTCTTTGTATGAATTTTAGGGGAGGCTTATGTACAGCATTGGATGTCTTTCGCCTGATATTATACAAATGATGACTAGCAGGTGCAAATGAATCATGATTATTAATTATAATTGTTTCTACAACAGTTAAGAATATTAGTTGCATTATTATAATTTGCAACTTTGTAACATATTAATTGTATTTAAATTTTCAATCAATGACTAATATTATTTTTAAGATTAATTAAAATTGGGATGAGAAAGAGAATTCATTTCAAATTCCATAAAACCAGCCTTCGCTGGACTGCTGTCACAAGTAGAATGAATGATTGTCACTAAACTTACTCATTATTGAAGATAGCAAATGTCATACAGACTGGATAGTGGTACAGAACTGTGGGAATGGGATCTTTCTCTGCAATTGTATGTATGATAACACGATCACCACTACGAGTCACATCTGGCCTCTTGAAGTGGGCAAGAGAAGCCAGTGTTGCTATGCTTGCACACTCTATCAAATTACCACCATGATTTAAAACCTTGACATCAACTCTCAAGGACCAAACCTAAAAAACAAGTTAAAACAAAAATATTAATCCCCACCAATTAAATAAAGATAGAAAGACTATGACTTGCAACTAAAACATACTGAAGAATTAATTAACTTAATACAAAACTGACCGACTTCCAGTTATATGATATGGTGGTAATCTATTAGGTGGTGAAGGTTAGGTAAGCTGTCAATATCCTTAAATAAAATAGCAACAAACCTTTTCTTCAACAACTATACAAAGTGATTCAAGATCAATACATTTTGAATCTTTGTAACACTTTTCTAGCAATCGATTGAGATATACAGTAAGGTCAGTTTGTCTGTTGGCCTCAAATTGGGGTGCTGCCATTGGACTTATTTCAACATTGATGTACAGTATACCTTCATTGGGACGAATTTGTTTGGGCTGTGTAACTTCACAAGACACTTGAGCAAGAACTCTGAAAGATAGCAATAAAAAAAGTAGAATTTTGCCACGCTGCTAGTAATAAATACTAGTGTTATTATTAATTTACTTTGTTTCTCCTAAGCGCACAATGCAGCTACCATATTCTGATCCGAAAGTTACATCCAGTCTTCTGCTTTCATTGTAGTTCCTACCATCAAGGCGCTAAAAAATAAATCGATTAATTTGTTTTTTATTGGTAAATTTCTATATTTATAAAAGGTGAAAGAAGCTTACATGACCCTCTGAAACTAATTTCTGGATGAAGTTTTTTTCACAATTAGATAAAAAAACGTCTCTCATTGTTTATTTTATTAAGTATTAAGATAATTAAGAATGTACTCTTCCTAAATACAAAAATTATTATTTTAATAAATAAAGACAATTGGTTATTTTGATTTTGCAAACTAAACACATGGACACCCGCTCAAATAAATGATAACAGTTTACTGTCAAACAGGGATGTGAAAAATTGACGATATTTTTTTTATCAGAGATTCCAATTATTAATTTTGATTATCGATAATTGAATAATAACATTTATTTTACATTCTTACAATATTATACGCAGCAACAAATCATGCGCAGTGTTGCAATCAATGAAGCATCGGAAATGAAAGAAAAAATTAAATGCCTAATATCGGCTTTAGCCAGAAAAAAACACTACTCCAGTATTAATGCCCTTAGTACTATGTACTTAAAATATCTTAATAAATTAATTGATGATTATACTATTTACATTACTTTTTAAAATAAAGGTAGAAGTATTTAAATCTGCGTAGAAGCAGTAGCTAAGTACTTTGTGTCTATTGAATCTCGTGCTTTTAGCATGAGTAGGGCCGTCAAATCAACTCATGTTGAGCGAATATTTCTTTAATGATCATCCAACAATCTGATATCTGAATTCAGTATTCACTCGTTTTGTTTAAAGCAGAATCAACCATTTCGTTAAATAAATACCTATAGTTCTTTGTTAAATATACTTAGGTAAACCTGTCTTGTTAGGATATTAATGCCAGGTGGTTAAAAATATTCTTGGTTAAATAATTACACAAGTACACGCGCTATGTAATGAATGACCTATATGGTAATAGGGGTTAAAGTATGAAATTGCCGATTTCTACTGAAAATCAAAATTATCAATATAAATCGGCAATAGTTAATAGTTACCATTATAATCTTTACATAGCTGCTGTCTAATAGGAAGATCATTTATGCATTTACGATAGAACTCTGAGGATCTAGACTGCACATACTGCACATTTTATACTACCTCCTGGGAAGAAAACTTCTTGTCACGTAGATAATTATCCAAATCACGAAAAACATGGTAGCCCGTTGGAGCAAGGTCTGGCAAATACGGAAGATGAATGGTTTCTAACTGCAGTTCCTGAAGGTTCAAAAAGGTTTCTCATGCTGTATAAGGTCTCGCGTTGTTATGGAGCAATAATGGTGAAAATCGATTCATGAGTTGGAGCTGTTTTACTGTTAGTTTTACCAACATTATCCAGAGTTCGGCACAATAGACATCTGCCGTTATTGCTTGACCAGATCGGAGAAAATTATAGTGAATGACACAATGCTGAAACCACCAAACAGTTACCATTACCTTTTTATTGGTAAGTTTTGCTTTAGGATACTGTTGTGGCGTTTGACCTGGGGTCAGCAATTGCATTTTTATTTTACGTTTATCATAAAGAATTCACTTTTCATCACATGTCACAATTTGATCCAATATTCCTTCATTTGTGTACCGATTCAACAAGGCAACACAAGTTTCAACACGCGTTTCTTTCTGCAGATCAGTCAAATCATGAAGCATTCATTTTTCGTATTTTTTTTATTTTATTGAGTTGACGCAAATGTGTCAATAATGTGGGTAAGTTAATGTTAAACCATGCCGCTAATTCCTGGGTAGTTTGACTAGCATTGGCTTCCACCACCTTTCTTAATTCATCGTTATTCACCTGTGTGGGCAGTCTTCCTAGTGGCTCGTTATTCAAGTCGAAGTTTCCATCACGAAAGCGTATAAACCAAAATCCCACGGTGCGTTCATTAGCAGACCCCTCTCTAAAAGCAAAATTGATATTGCGGGGTGTTTCTGCCACGTTACTTGCTCGTCGGAACTCGTATTCAAAAATCACTCGAATTTTCGCAGTATCCGTCTTTCTTGTCTAAGTTGAATAACAAAAACGATTGAAAGTCGAAAGTCGATATTCAAATATTTCACATTTTTTTAAAAGAAAACCATCATAGTATCCACGTGAAGAAAGTTTCTTTCGAAAATCTCAAATCATGAAGTTTCTATGTTAATTCAAGGAACCTATTACAATAAACCGGTAATTTCATACTTTAACCCCTAATATAAGTATGGTAATTTCTGAAGTGACCGCTTTCCATCAGGGGAGGTCAGCTCAGGCTCAATGAAATATGGCACCCTAAGCAGTTGCAACTTGGCGCCCTATTTGCCTTTGCCCCATCCCCTTTCGAGCGCCTTAGGCTGTCGCTTAGTTTGCCTACATGGGCGGGCCGGCACTGTATATTGGGCAATCAAATCTCCATTTGTCGTTTATTTAAGTGATTTTATATTATCATTATTTTGCGATGTATGATATTTTTATTTTATTTAATTAAGGGATTTCAATTAAATAAAAAGCTACGACGGGACGAAGCACTTCCGTCCCGTCGTAGCTTTTAGGAGTAGGAAGAGTACCAGGGACAAAGTGGATTTTTTAAGCCTTTTTATCAAGGATTAAAACCCATTACCTTTCGTAATCCGGGTGACTGCGAAAGGTCATCGCTTAAAGTGGGTATTTTTTATATTTTTCAGTATAACATTGTGAATACGAAATTAATCAAACAAATATAATAATGCGTCTGGAGAGATTTGAGAAGCTCATTTTTTAACTGTAAGTAGATATTATATGATAACGATTTTGCCGCGCCACTGACACTGGCGTCGGGTCCTTTTATATTCTTGGTTTTGTATCACCTTCTAACATAATTGTTGTTATTTGATACTATCAATTGTTCTTTGATGGTTCTTTGTTTTTTAGCATTTGTTATATATTTATCTACGCAAAATCTTTCCCCTGAACGTTTCTTTCTTTCATTTGCCTATTTTACAGACCGCATTTTTTACCTTAAGCGCTTTCAGTAACCAGCTTCGCATCTATGAAACTATACATGACTGATTACGAAGCATCCTCTAGTAGATAACGACTCTCCGATGCTCCGTGGAGGGCAACCTCAGGATTCGTTAGATTTTAGTAGTTACCTAGCTACTCTATGGTGGTTAGCTACTTTATAGTTGTTATTCTGACAATTCCCGAGGATGTCCCGTTATCATACTTAAACATCTTCTCTTATGTTAGACATTCAATAAAGAGAGAAAAAAGTACCTATCAATCTTTCGTAGTAACCTACAACAAAGTTGCAAAACATGACGTGAGTAACTGACTTCCAAAGGCGTCAGTTTCAGGGTGGCCACTAAGTTGCGGAAATCACTATTGGACACTAAGGGCGCTTGTGCACTACACAGAATTTTCATGTCAGGCGGTCCGATTTTTTCAGGTCTGATATGTCAGGCCATATATAAGTAATGCTAGCCTGTGCTCTGTCAGGAATTTTACCGTCCGGGATTTTACTTTTCTCTATTCCGGCCCGTTTTTTTCAGGTCCATGATGGCGGCAATGAAAAACGTGTTTACGCTTGTGCACTGCTGTGTCCGCGATCCGGAAAATTCATAAAGAATAGGTTTGGGAAAAATAATCGAATTGTGTATAATCGATATTTATTTCGGCGATATTATTAATTTCCAATAATTTTATAATCGATATTTATTGTAGATAATAAAATGCTATATTTTATATGATGATTTAATATAGTTGGTAAATATCACTGCATATGCTTTGGCAAACTCGGTATAGTTCTAATTCGATCAGCGTATGGTTTTAGTATGGATACTTAGCCAGATTTTAGAATCGTATTAAAAGTATCGATAACTTAAGGTAAGATAAATAAGTGTTGTTACCTACGCTTAGACGCCTAAAGATGGGTTATCTTAATGGAAATTAATATAGTAAATAGATTTAACTTTAAGAAAGGACATAGGCTACATTTTATCACGAAAAATAGGGGATGAAATTTTGCCTAGAAATTTGTCATTATCAAATTCTTTTTAGGCAATTGATAAGTATAGATAAATATTTAATAACAGAAGTAATAATAAAGAATAAACAGAATATTAACAGAAGTAATTAAGTGACACTCAATGTCTTTTTCGCATTTAATAAAATTTGAAATGACTGTTTGTGTCATAAATAAATTTTAAAAAAAAGAAGTATTCTAAGGGAAAATTATTTCTGCTCAAAGAAACTACACCATGCGTATAAAATTATGCCTATAAATAATACAGTCAACTGATCTCGTAAAGTTCGTTTAGCATATTAATTCTCCGCTTACACGGCACTAAATTTGTTTATGAAATGGCGCCACCGATTAGTCTATCTCTGTAATCGCTTAAAGTTGTTTTTACAAAACTTCGAAAAAAAATAGCATGTTTATTTAAACATCAAGTAATTTTATTCTAATGTCACAGATATTTTTAGCTATTGTATGTGAATAATGTTGTCCCTAAATTAGTAAGAGTATAAGTTTTTACATCAGATAGTAGTAAAATGCTTTCGTCTTGCCTCAATTTATTATGGTTTATGTAAAATGATCAGGTCGTTATTTAGGTACCTTTCTACGTTTTCGAACGCAATTACCGACGTTCCAAAAATCTCATCTAACACGTCACTTAATTCATGTCACTGTTGCAGGTCTGATTTTAATGAGGCCGTATCTTAGGAGAAAATGTGAAACTACTTAAAAATAAAAGAAAAGAAGGGATCCAAATGTTCGTGGTGGCTTTGAGCTTTTACCTATGTATTAATACAGGTAACGCTGGCCTGGCTTGTGAAACTGTTACTGCTAGATCAACCAGCTTCTGAACTCTTTTAAAATTGGTGCCGATCGAATAGCAATTCGGAAGATTAGCAGAACCTAAAAGAAACCGGTGGTAGTATGTATAATACAGCAATCAACAACATTTATAGCAGTAGTCTCTATCAATAAAATATAATTATATCTACTCGTAGACAAATACTAACACAAAATATAAATGTGTGTGCATTCTTTAAAAAAAAAAAATCGTTTCTACTGTTAGACTACGATACTCTTTATCGATTGTATTAGTGGAAGCACTATCTGTCAGTGGGTTGTCACTGTCACCTTTGAAGTTGACATTAAAAATGAAGAGA